TGATACTTATTGATATAAAAATGACGTCACTATGATATAACAACTTCAATATTTCCAAAATAACTCTCCAATTCCATAAATATTCATATTAATCACGAACCACTTAACTTTCATAAACCTTACATTATAATCATCGTGTATGAATTATTTTAGAATTCATACCAACTTTTCCAATTTATGTATATTGTTCCTTCACCATTTTACTCAATTGAATTTCAATACTAAAAATTTCAGCATTGGAGTAATATAACCAATCTACTACATTCACGTTTGCATAACTATCTTTAAACCTCTAAACTTTACAAACTTTAAAAACTAGTCACTAAACTTACCAAGTTTCCAAAATGATCCAATTTTACATTCTAACATTCAATTCCAGCATATTATATCATGCATTGAACATTTGCAAATAAACTCCATAATTTTCCATAATTATCAAATAGGTCCCTTAACTTTCAAAAAATTACAAAATGGTCTCAAAAACTTTATAGATCTTTTAGAATCCTTCCACATCATTTCTAACTGTTATAACATTTTTCCATAATTTTTCTCACTCTTTAACACTGTGGTCTAATACTTTAGGTAGGGTTTCAATGGTTGCAAACTTGATTCAAGCGTGAAAAAACCCCTCTAATTAACATTTCAAAGCTTCTATAATTAAATTCCTAACATAATTTAACCAAATCAATAACATCCCAAAACCCTAGGTTTTGGCCAAATGAAATAGATGTATTTCTAGGTGGTTTTAATCAAAAAACAAGGTTAGAAATGATTCTAAAACATCAATAACTTCAAAATCCATCATCAATTCATAAAACCCTAACATCTTATTCATCCACCAAATTTAGGAACTAAGCATTTCAAGCAAGATTAGCATGCATAATTGGTACCAAAGGATAGAGCTCTTCGAATAGATCAATTTCCTATTTCACGCTTCAATCCAAACACCTAAGAAAATTTTTAAAAATAGAAAAAATTCCACACCTTAGGGTTGATACAAGGTAAAGTAGAAGAAAGATGTACAAAATGTCATAAAACTTCTAGTTAATTCCATGTTAATTTGTCATTTATTAAGCTTAAATGAATTAAAAATGTGTTTAATGGGAAATGACATTTTCACCTTTAATGAAACATGATAATTACAACCATACCTTGTCACGTGTTAATTGCCATCTTTCAAAGTCAAATATAAACAAATTAATTTTCCTTTTACAACTTTACCCATGACTCTTTCCAAAAATTCCAATCTAGCCATTATCATCCAACGGTCCATGTTTAACATGGATATAAATTCTCAAATCTAATGATCCATATTATTTTTCCATCATTTTAAAATGTGGAAATAATATTTCTAAGCTTAATTTAGAATCCTTTAAAAATTTCTCAAAATCTCCATTCGATTCGATTTACCGAATTTTTACTGGACTTTAACACTTTATAGCTTTTAACACAAATTTCATATCAAAAATCTGATTCCCACGACAACATCATTATTCGTGGTGAACTATTCAGTTATAGGGTCAAAATACCTAACTTTTAAAAAATACACTTTGGCCACTGAACTTTTCCAAACTTCAAACCTTGGTCACTGAACTTTTAAAATTTATGTTTTGATCACTAACCAAAATTTTGGGTATTACAATTTTCTCCAAGTAAATTTTATGGTCAAAAATTTCTATAAGGGGAGAATTGTGACACAATGAAAAAATCCCCAATTTTAATACCTAGAATTTGGGGATTTTAGCCTTAAGTCCCTAGGTTTCGGTTGATGACCTAATTACAATAATCAAAAGTTAAGTGCCAATTTTGAATACCCTCAAAGACTTCAGCACCAGTTAGATGAATTAACCATTTCCTTAAATCAAAAAAAAAAAACCCTCCATCTACTCGATTATATCATGCGTGTCATTTTCCCCTTCTCCTTTATTTCAAAACCCTAGCAGTAGCCAACACTCCCTCACCGCCTTGCTCGTCGTCCGCTCGTTTGTAAGTCGCCACCGTTAACCCTTCAACCATAATCACCGTCATTCTGTCCCATTTTTTTTTTCTTTCATTACCATTAGGGACTGGTAAGGGAATGTCAAAGTTCCCTCGTCATTCGGAATGTTGCGATAATCTGCGACAGGGAAGCATCCAAGTGACTGAACCCTCATCGGTTGTCGGGCTCACTTCTGATCAGACATGGTAGGCGGTGTAAACCACTGTCATTCTCCTCATTATTTTTTCACGGTCGTTTGCGTTGTCACCATCGTCTGCTATGATTGCTTCCACTAACCCATCACCAACCAGTCATGGGGCCATTGACTGGTGGTCCCCTTTTCTGATCTTGCAGCCCCATTATTTTGCTTTAACAATTTTTTATTCAAAAATTATTAATGTATTTTGATGGTTTGAGTAATCTGGAAATTTAGTGTGGGGAAACTAAAATTCATCGTCATAATTTTTGCAGGTGAAATCGAACCATGAACCGAGTTACCGCCTCCTCTGTCATTACCCGTAAATTTCAAATCAACTGGTATAACGCATGTTGACCGTGAGGGTTAATTTATAATATTTAATATGTTAGTTTCCATTGTTAATTTTGAATAAATTATTTATTATTAAATAAATTTTGTAGGCACTGATTCATATTGATCACTGTTCGGGTCCATTAATGGAAACATTATCATCGTCGTTAGCTGTTTGTCGAGGTGTGTCTCTATTCGATGCTATATTTGTTTGATTATTGATTGTTTGCTTGGTTGTTTGGTAAATTACTTGAACTCATCTCTGAATGTGAAATAGAATATGTTTAATATAATTCGGAATAACACTATATGATGCATGATGAACTGTCAAAACTGGATTATGTGACGTGCATACAATATGTGATTGTTTGGAATTAATAGAATCATATTATATGCTTCTGAATATCTAATTATGTAATGCTTTTTATTCGGATTGGATCAAATTTTGGATTTGTATGCCATTTTGCATGTCATGTTGGGTTGGATTAAGGGAAGTGTTGTAATACCCCAAACTTGAATCATGGATTGGGTGCATTATCGAGACTGAAAGAAAGAACAAGATCATTGAACGATTAATCTTATATACACAGCGGACAATACAGTTGAAGAGCTATATTTTTTTAATACAAGATTACAATTCTTAATCACTAATTATCAATTAATTTGATTAAGACATAAATCCCAATTTAGCTATAGAAGATTCCTTTGATTTCAAATATGTAATTCATTAAATCGATTACTAATATCAATCCACATGCATAGCTAGGAATTTAATGAACTTAACACAGTACATCATCATTTGATAATCAACTTATATATTTTTTCATTAATAAATAGACCCTTAATATATTATACCAAATGGCATGCTAGTAAGCTAGACACATTCCCAAAAGAGTCATTATCGATACATACATTAGGATCCTTTAGCTACATGGACTCTACTAGTTCATTATGTTCTTAGGTACATTTCATATACAACTTAATTACCCACCATATTCATAAAATTTGAACCATTATATTCAAAACTAAGCCACCTATTAGGAGTATACGGATAAGAAACAAGCTACACTTTAATTCTTCCCTTGGATAGATTAGCTAAGGAGGTGGAGCATCGAATACTCTAGAACCTATGTTTTGGGAAAGAAAGGAACAAGAGTGATAGGTACTTATAGTACTTAGCGAGGTAACATTTAATCCACTTTTAAACATTTCCATTAGTCATTCTTAATCCTTATGCATACTTATTCGATTATATATATATATATATATATATCACTTAGTCATACAATATAACATAAGGAACAAATAATCCAAACTCACACATGACAATAGAAACCTAATTAACTGCATGTACTTGACTGTGTTTAAAAAGCGTCACTTAAGCGCGATTAAAGCGCTAAGCGACTTGAGCGAGGCCCCTGGCGCTTCAGCATAGCAAAACCACTACGAATTCATTAAGCGGTAGTAATCGCTTTTGTAACGCTTTTAGCAAAGCGCTAATTAACGCTTAATCGCGAGTTTAGAATATACGATTCTGGGCTTTATCATAAATGATTTTTGGGCTTGTTTAGGGTTTAGCGGGCTATTAGATTATCAGGCTTAGATCGACTTTTAGTTTAGGCGGGCTAGGGTAAAAAATGCGATTGAAATAGGCGGTAGTCGAAGAATTTACAAAGAACGATTGAGGTTGAGCGGTAAAAAATTCACAGAGAGCGATCATCTTCCATGCCTGTCGCCTCTGGGCTCACGAATCCTGACTCACGACTCAAGTTTTGATCATCATCTTCCTCTCATCTCACTCGAGTCGCGCTGCTGCTGCACTTCATCAACTGGTACGTAATTTTGTTGTTTATATACTTATAGTTTATTGCAAAATTGTGTTTTATAGTTTATAGAATACTATTCTTCTTTATAGCTTTTTGCTTTCTCATTTTTTAAGTACTTAGTATTGCTGAATTTTACATGTAGACAACCAAAATGCTTGTTAACCTGGTAAAATTTCACTGACTTTGACTCTTGGTTTTAAAAATCGTAAAGATCCCTAAAGCGCCAAGGGTCCTAGATGCCGAAGCTCTAAGCACTAAGCGAAAGCGATCACTTTATGCACACGAAGCGCCAGAAAGGCCGAAATTCACAAAAAAAATACAGAATGTTTATAAATTATCTTATAAATACTTAAATATTAAATTGTCAATGCATATATTCAAAACTTACAAGTACTTAAACACAAAAATATAATTCTCAGTTTATTTATAAGTTATAAACACTTAAATACTTATATACCATTAACCATATGACTATACGAGCATATTAATCTCAAAAGATGGTCTACACCAAAAGTAGTCTAAAGTGAGATTAACAAAAGTATTTTTCTAAACCCTCAATTCCTTATAATTAAAAATCCTTTAAATCGTCATCGTCATCAACTCGGACAACACCATCTCCTTCATCACTAGACACTTCAATATCTTCTTCCATCTCATCTTCATCAACTAAGCATCTACGAGATGGTCTACTAGAGATAGGATTATGAGCAGGAGATTTTCCTTTATCATTTCGTGATGGTCCAGCTCCATCATTCACTACTTTTGATGCTCTAGTTAGATAACTAGACTCATATACACCGGAAGCGTTAGCAATATCACTCCATGTCAAATCCTCCTCACAAACAAACACCGCCTCATCATCATCTTCATCATCTTCCATTCTTCCCATGAACCACTCATTGCTCTCATCAATATCTTGCAAAAGAATGGGATCGGTCTCCTTACTTTTAGCTCGGCGCTCCAAGGCACTATTGAATTTCACAAACACCATGTCATTCAATCTAGATTGTGCCAATCTATTTTGTTTCTTACTGTGAAGCTACAAGAAAAAAACCAAAAAATGAATGTTAGCAACATTATGCATATATATATATATATAATTTCCAGCAATATTATTAAGAAAAAACATGTAAAAATAACTTACTTGTTGAAAAACACTCCAGTTTCTCTCATAACTTGTAGCATTACAAGTGAGACTAAGAATCCGTATAGCAAACTTTTTCAAGTTAGGAGCCGAAGATCCATACATTGTCTACCAATCAACTATAAAAAATGTAAAATGAATATGAAACATAAACTATATTTGAGAGAATAATTAATATAACTTAAAACTTAAAATATAAAGTAACATTTTTTTACCTGGTGATTTTGTTTTCCTTTCCCTAACAGCCAAGCTAATACCAAAGAGACCTTCTGCCTTTTGGTATTTAACTAACTCATTTAAAATCTTGTCTTGAGTTTCTTGGTCGCGAACAAGCCTCAACATGTATTCATAAGAACCGTTTTTAACTTCTTCGCAAAGCACACCACCAACTTCATCATAAAAGATCCCCGTGATCAAGAAATGTCCCACAACATGCAAAGGTTTATGTAGTTGACATTCCCACCTATGATCTATAATTTCAAAAGCTTTCTTGAATTCATCCTCTCGATTTGGAGAACTATCACAAATCGCCTCCTTAGCTCTATCCATTGCCTAATAGATGTACCCCATGGCTGGATTTTTTTCTCCATCAACTAGTCTAAGAACTTTCACTAAGGGGCCTGTCAACTTGAGAGAATAAAGTACATTCCTCTAAAACGTTTCTTGTAAAAAGTAAGACTTTATTTTCTTACATGTGGGTTCTTTAGACCACTTGCTCGCTTCCCACTCTTGAGAAGTCAACATCTTCCTCAAATTGTTTTTTTTTGTTTCTGGATCTGGGCAAGAGTGATGAAGGAAGTAGAAAATCTTGTGATGGCCGGTCTATGCAAGTTTCTTTGGTTTGTGAACTTTCTCATCAAGTTCACCAAAGCAATATGACTATATATATATATCCATTTGAGTAAATGACATTTTTAAAGCATTTTTAACCCTAGGAATGTGTTTGCCAATATCCTCCAATATCAAGTCTAGGCAGTGTGCACTGATTTTATTATTCTGATCTTGTATTACATATCTCCTAATCAGGTTTTCTGACCCGTTCTTTGAAGAACCTGCGTTACTCACCGTTGAAGTCATTCTATAAAAGATAAATTAGACATAAAAAACTAAAATAAAAGAAAGCAATACCAGTATACAAAGTTACAAACTATACCAGTAAGGAAGTAATAACTAAAAAAAAGATGAATTATATATTTATATACCATTTTGAAAAACATAAAACAGAAAGGCTGTGAAAATTTATTCTACCAAGTTGAAAGTTAATCAGTTTGACACTTAGACCTTATAAAGTCAATTTATACCATAATACAAACATTTAAAATTCAACAAGCATTTTGTTTGTCTAAAAACTGAATTAAACTTGAATACATGATATTCAGTTTGACCTTATAAAACATAAAACATAAAGCAATACTAGTTTGACCTTATAAAGTCAATGAACTTTTTTAAAATCAAACTATAAAACAGAAAGCAATAAAGTCAAACTATAAAGAACGAGAAAGCATTTTATAAAGTCAAACTATAAAGTCAGAGTCAGTGAAAATTTACCAGCTTAACAAACATTTTGCTTGTCTACATGTAAAATTCAGCAATACTAAGTACTTAAAGAAGGAGAAAGCAAAAAGCTATAAAGAAGAACATTATTCTATAAACTATAAAACACAATTTTGCAATAAACTATAAGTATATAAACAACATAATTACGTACCGGTTGATGAAGTGCAGCAGCAACATGACTCGAGTGAGATGAGAGAAAGATGATGATCAAAACTTGAGTCGTGAGTCAGGAGTCGTGAGCGTTAGGCTAGAGGCCAGAGGCGACAAGCGTGGAAGATGATCGCTCTCTGTGAATTTTTTACCGCTCAACCTCAATCGTTCTCTGTAAATTCTTTGATTACCGCATATTTCAATCACATTTTTTACCCTAGCCCGCCTAAACTAAAAGTCGATCTAAGCCTGATAATCTAATAGCCCACTAAACCCTAAATAAGCCCAAAAATCATATATGCTAAAGTCCAAAATTGTATCTTCTAAACTTGTGATTAAGCGCCAATTAGCGCTTTGCTAAAAGCATTGCAAAAGCACAGATTACTACCGCTTAATGAATTCGTAGTGCTTTTGCTATGTTGAAGAGCCAGGGGCCTCGCTCGAGTCGCTTAGTGCTTTAATCGTGCTTAAGCGATGCTTTTTTAAAAACAGCTCTGACTTTATAGTTTGACTTTAAAAAATGCTTTCTCGTTCTTTATTATTTGACTTTATTGCTTTCTGTTTTACAGTTTGATTCTAAAAAAGTTCACTGACTTTATAAGGTCAAACTGGTATTGCTTTATGTTTTATGTTTTATAAGGTCAAACTGAATATCATGTGTTCATGTTTAAGTCAGTTTTAGTTGTTATTGTTATTGTTTTCTGTTTTTCAGTTGTTACTTATATACTGGTATAGTTTTTTAGACAAGCAAAATGCTTGTTGAATTTTAAATGTTTGTATTATGATATAGATTGACATTATAAGGTCAAAGTGTCAAACTGATTTACTTTCAACTTGGTAGAATAAATTTTTATAGCCTTTCTGTTTTATGTTTTTCAAAATGGTATATAAATATATAATTCATCTTTTTTCAGTTGTTACTGCCTTACTGGTATAGTTTGTAACTTTGTAAACTGGTATTGCATTCTGTTATTTTAGTTTGACTTTATGTTTAATCTATCTTTTATAGAATGACTTCAACGGCGGGTAACGTAGGTTCTTCAAAGAACGAGTCAGAAGACCCGATTAGGAAATATGCAATACAAGATCCGAATAATAAAATCAACTTTATATGCTCTTTTTGTGGACAAACATTTAAGGGAGGTCTGTTTCGGATCAAAATGCACATGATTGGACTTTTTAAGGATGCTCGTAAATGTCCAAACTGTCGGGAGCATGTGCGGGAATAATTAAATGCGTTCATGATAAAGAAACAAACGGCAAAGGCAGAATAACATATGCAAGCAAAAAACTGGATGCACCAACAACAAGCTGATGAATACAATGGTGAAGAAGATGTTGTTGAAATAGGTGGCCGTAGTAGCAAGATGCCCCTACCCAAAAAACCAAGGCAAAAATGTCTTATGGACATGTACTTCACTCCTAATCCTTGGAAGCAATCAAAGCTGGGATGGAATGGAGACAACAAACTATCAATGAAACGTGTCGAAAGGACCATAAGGATAAAGTTTTTCATGAGATTGGGAGGTGGTTTTACGATGCAGGTATTATAAATAATTAAAATTTATGTTGCTGGAAGTCTTTTTTTATTTATATAAATGGAAATATATTTTTTATGTTGGCATTCCTTTTAATATCGTAACATATGAGAGTTTTCAAATAATGATTGAAGCAATCAGACAGTTTGGCCCCGAGATGAAAGTACCAAGTATGTACGAGTTAAGAGTTCCCATACTTAACAAGTAGAGGAAGTTCAAAACGAAATTGTGGAAAATAAGAAAGAATGGACAGAAAAAGGTTGTTCAATATTATCGGATGGATGGCATGATTCCGTTGTTTAAAAAGATATCATCAACTTCATGGTAAACTCCCCAAAGGGTTCGATCTTCGTGAAGTCACTTGATGTATCTGATGTTTCAAAGGATGTTGATTTGTTGTTTCATGTTCTTGATAAAATGGTGGAGGAAGTTGGTGAAGAGAATGTGGTGCAGGTGGTGACTAATAATGCATCAGCTTATGTAAAGGCAGGTAAGAGTTAAGTTGCAACTTTAGTCTTTTGATAATCTCTTGTCTAATGTCATGTACTCATCTTATTCCTCTAACTTTGTAGGGAAGTTGTTGGAAGCTAAAAGACCAAATATCTATTGGACACCATGTGTTGCACACTGCCTAGACTTGATGTTGGAGGATATTGGCAAACATATTCCTGGGGTTAAAAATGCTTTAAAAAATGCCATTTACTCAAATGGATATATATATAGTCATGTTGGTTTGGTTAACTTGATGAGAAAGTTCACAAACCAAAGAAACTTGCATAGACCGGCCATCACAAGATTTGCTACATCCTTCATCACTCTTGCCCAGATCTAGAAACAAAAAAAAAAAAATTTGAGGAAGATGGTGACTTCTCAAGAGTAGGAAGCGAGCAAGTGGTCTAAAGAACCCACGAGTAAGAAAATAAAGTCTTACTTTTTGCAAGAAACGTTTTGGAGGAATGTACTTTATTCTTTCAAGTTGACAGGTCCCTTAGTGAAAGTTCTTAGACTAGTTGATGGGAAAAAAAAATCCAGCCATGGGGTACATCTATGAAGCAATGGATAGAGCTAAGGAGGTGATTCGTGATAGTTTTCCGAATCGAGAGGATGATTACAAGAAAGCTTTAGAACATGAGAAAGTTTACTATACGGATTCTTAGTCTCACTTGTAGTGCTACAAGTTGTGAGAGAAACTGGAGTGTTTTTCAACAAGTAAGTTATTTTTACATGTTTTTTCTTAATAATATTGCTGGAAATTTTATATATATATGCATAATGTTGCTAACATCCAGTTTTGGTTTTTTTCTTGTAGCTTCACACTAAGAAACGAAATAGATTGGCGCAATCTAGATTGAATGACATGGTGTTTGTGAAATTCAATAGTGCCTTGGAGCGACGAGCTGAAAGTAAGGAGACCGATCCCATTCTTTTGCAAGATATTGATGAGAGCAATGACTGGTTCATGAAAAGAGTGGAAGATGATGAAGATGAAGATGAAGATGAGGCGGTGTTTTTTAGTGAGGATTTTACATTGAGTGATGTTGCTAACGCTTCCAGTGCATATAAACCTATTTATTTAACTAGAGCATCAAAAGTAGTGAATGATGGAGCCGAACCATCACGAAATGATAAAGGAAAATCTTCTGCTCATAATCCTATCTCTAGTAGACCATCTCGTAGATGCTTAGTTGATGAAGATGAGATGGAAGAAGATATTGGAGTGTCTAGTGATGAAGGAGATGGTATTGTCCGAGTTGATGACGATGATGATTTAGAGGATTTTTAGTTATAAGGAATTGAGGGTTTAGAAAAATTCTTTTGTTCATCTCACTTTAGACTACTTTTGGTGTAGACCATCTTTTGAGATTAATATGCTCATATAGTCATATGGTTAATGTTATATAAGTATTTAAGTGTTTATAACTTATAAGTAAATTTAGAATTATATTTTGATGTTTAAGTACTTATATAAGTTTTGAATATATGCATTGACACTTTGATATTTAAGTATTTATAAGATAATTTATAAATATTTTGTATTTTTTTATGAATTTCGGCCTTTCTGGCGTTTCGTGTGCATAAAGCGATCGCTTTCGCTTAGCGCTTAGCGCTTCGGCGTCTAGGACCCTAGGCTCTTTAGGGCGCTTTATGCTTTTTAAAACCAAGGTGCTTGAATTATACTACATTATTCAGTTAATTATTGTACAGATGCAATCATTCCATTCAAATAAGAAGATAATTTCACAATTTAAATACATGCACGATCCATGTATTTTAACCTAATACAATTAATCAATACATTTTTGT